TGGGATCGATCTGCAAGGCCTGAAAAGAGCGAATCTGATTCGGAGGATAAGAAGAAGGATGACGAAGTGGAACAAAGAGCCGCAGACATCATCCGAGCGATTCGTGAGTATGAGCGCAATGTCACCTTCGGCAACCTGGCTTCAGAAGCACTTCCGCTAGACGATGATCGGGACATGGGTGGCCAATATCTCACCAACAAGGATCGGATAGACCACCAAAGCAAGCTGTACCAAATCGCCAAAATCGTTCCGAAGGGTGCTCTTTTACATCTTCACTTTAATGCCGAATTGCATCCTGAATTGCTGCTCGTGCGAGCCCGCGAGATGGAAAACATGTACATCCGCAGTATAATACCAATCACAGAGGAAGAGCATCTTGGTCAGACGGAGATGGTTTTCAATGTCGTTGATCCAGGGACCGTCAATCGTGGCGTTAACATTTTCTCGCCTTCGTATCCTAAATTGACGAACCCGAGAGATGTCAAAAACCCTGCCTACTTGAAAACTGTCTGGATGCCATGGAAAAAATTCCGGAAGGAATTTGAAAAAAAATTTCCAGGCTTATACAAAGAAGAAGAGCCCGAGACGTTCCAAGCAGGACGGCCACCACGTCCACCACGTCATTGTGGGGAACCCAAACGTGCCGTTCTGTATCCCGCTGAGAACTGGCTAAGATCGAAGATGGTGCTCAGCCAGGACGAAGCCTACCGGCCTACACAAACTGTAAACGGGTATGTGGGTCTTTCCCTACATGGTTTCTATGCTTACTGATATCTACACAGAGTATGGGCCCGTTTCAATCAAGCCACGAGAGCCTTTAAAGGGTTGTTGAACTATGAGAGCGTTTACAAGGAGTACATAGGCAACGCTATCGACCGTATGATCGAGGAGAACGTTATGTACGCTGAGCTCCGACCTATGCTTTTGGACAAATCTATCCCATCCGACGACGGCAAGGTTGAGATTAACAATTCTGCCCAGATGCAGCTCATTGTAGATGCAGTAAAAGCTAAGAAGGCGAGCCTCGAAAATGAAGGGCGACTGGACAAGTTTCCCTTTGGACTCAAGATCATATATTGTACACCTAGGTCGATACCTGATTTTATGATGAGAGAGGAGATGAAGCAGTGCATCGAGCTTAAGCTGCAGTTTCCAGAGCTAATTTGCGGTAAGCAACATGGAACACAAGATGCGCAACATTCTCTAATATGAATAGGTTTCGATCTCGTAGGCGCAGAAGATCGACCCAACCACATTGGATTTTATAAGAAAGAGCTTGCTGCTTTTCAAGCAACTTGCAAGGAGATGAAAGTGGATATACCGTTCATGTTTCATGCCGGTGAGACACTGCTCGACACTGGCGGCTCTGACGACCCTACAAACTCCAACCTGTACGACGCAGCGGCCTTAGGGTCGAAGCGCATCGGGCATGGGTTTGCACTCTTGAAGCACCCGCATCTTGTGAAAAGGTTCAAGAGGGACGAATCCATACCTGGGTCGGGTATCTGTATTGAGCTTTGTCCCATCTCGAATGAGTTGCTGCATCTATGCAGAAAGGTCAAGGAACACCCATATCCAGAATTACTGGCTGCGGGCATACCCTGCACGGTCAACTCGGATAACCCGTCGCTTTTCAGGTATGAGGATTCCTACTCTGCGTCATGCCTCTTGTTCTTAACCCGCATCACCCTGGTCACAAAACTAACACAACCACAGCAACTCAATGTCCCATGAGTTCTACCAAATCATGGTTGGCGCACCTAGCATGTCTCTCTACAGCTGGAAGCAACTCGCACTATGGAGCCTTGAGTATAGCTGCCTGTCAGCAAAAGAGCAAGGGGATGGAGAGAAGATCTTGAGGAAGAGTTGGAGAGAGTTCTGTCAGACTGTCGTTCACGACTATGGCCCTCTTATGATGAACGAAGCTCCAGGCAAAATCGATGTCTACAAATCAGAAGCATCATATCCGGAACGGAGGAGGATACATGCAGATATCGAGAAAGCAGGGGCAGATGAGAAACGAGGGCCAGAATGGGTAAAAGCAGAGAGGGAAAGAGCAGAGGCGTGGAGGGCATCTTTACCCAAAGGCAGTGTTCTGCTAACCCATAGGGATGACAAGGACCATATCTAGCTACACCGAACAGAAAAGTCGAAGGTCGCCATATAGCCGGCTGACTACCAGATTACCGCTGTCAACTAGATGATGAAGCTAAAACACAATGTTTCTATGACTCGCAAATGCATGCAAGTGAGGTTAAGCTTCCCTCCCATGATCTGCGCTTAGCTTTCTCGCAACTGACGCTATACGGACCTTTGAGCAGAAGTCATGCTTCACGACTTCATTATCGACCGCAAAGTTCTCAGTACATGACAAGGTGTGGGGCTCCATCACATTCTGGTAAAGTTTGGACGGCAAACTGCGACAGTGACGGAAGATAAAGCGTTGCCGCCAAGCCACTCATTCAGGTATGAGTGACTAGATTAATGAGTTTAGTGTTTGTAAGTTGTATCTGAAAGACAAGCCTTACACTGAGAGCTCGTTAACGCTATACTGAATCAAAGACACCATCAAGGCATCTTCAAATGTTTCGGTCTAGGTGTTGAGCTGGAAGTCTGGACGTCCCTCTCTCCACTCATCAAAGTCCTTCTCACCGGGCATCTCGCTGCCGTCAGAGAGCTTGAGCCTGGGAAATGATCTGTCCTCGCGATTGTTTGTCGGCTCCTTGTTAGCCAGCTCCTCATTGACCAAGACCAAAGCACCAGATTGCCATCCTGCAGCGCTCACCTGGAGAGCGAAATATGCGCCAAGGCCGTCTTCGCCACCGTCTTGGTCCCAGGCTCTGCCTTCTTGCTCAAACCACTCGCTGACTTCACCCTGAACGTTGTGGTCGCTTAGAAATAGTTCCCTGCGCGAAGCGCTTTCTTCAGCGTGTGATTGGTCGTGCACAACCTCCTTGAGCCATTCGTTCTTCCTTGCGTCAAACCAAATCTGACGACCGGTCGTATATGCGTGAGGGAGCAACTGGCCGTTGTTGTTGAACTGATTATATACAATACCGCGCGCCTTTCCGACGAGGTTGTCGTCGTTCATGCCCAGACCGAGGGAGCCACAGCCACCATTTTCGGTGCCGTACGACGTAATTTTACCATTCGAGTGGAGTGCCAGGTAGTGGTAGTCACCAAAAGCGATCGAGATGACATTAGTGCCCTGCAAAGCCGGAATCTTCTTGAGGCCTTGCATGTCTCCAGAGCTATTGTGACGATGGCTCCAGCATGATTCAAGGTAGTTTTGATCGCCAGTGATCACTTCGTTGTCCTTGAAGATGGCAAAATTGCGGAACGAGCCTTGAACGTCAAGAGGAGCTCCTTTCTCATGACGCAACATTCGAAGCTCAATAACATCCTCGACTTGGTTCTTGGCTCCAAATTTACCACAGAAGACCTTGCCAAGGTCGGTGGTGAACAAGACAAAATGCTCAAGCAGAACATAGTTCAGCACCGCCCCGACCTCTCGACCTAGAGCCCTCTGCTCATCGGACTCGCGAGTTCCTTTGACATGTTGATAGCCGGTTTGGGGGACCTCGGCGTGTTCCAAGACAAGCATAGTATCGGTGCCGTCCTCACCATGATCCCGTTCGACTGGGTCCCAGACGACAATGCCGATGCCATGTACATAGGCCGAGCTGCGGCTCCAACCTGCTACGACTTGTTTTATTTGCCCAAAGTTGGACGTTGTCCGCGTTGTGTCGTTCAGGGAGATCTCGTTCAATTGTAGGGTTGCGAATTTGACCTGGAGCGCAGGTTTCTTGACATCGTACCATGACCACATCCGACCGCTGTCAGAGAGTCCGAGTATGTGTGCACGACCGGAGGAGAACTGGCGAATGGCGACGGTCGGCTCTTCGTATTGGGCATCGGTAGCGGTAGGAGGATATCCTTCAGGGAAGCGGAGCGGCTGTAGAGGCCCATTAGCGAGGAGTATCCGCTGGCCATCTAGCACACCGGCAGTATGTAGAGTGCCTTTAGAGGTAAGCAGGGTCGTGGACCAGCCACCACACTGCATATCAGCAATGACGCCCAAGTCTCTCGTCTTATCCATCTCTGTCGGAAAGGCTTGGTGTGCCGCGTACATGCGCCTGCCTGGCCGCATCATGCCAGCTCTCATCCGAGGCCCACGACGGCCATGTGTATGGTCTTCCGGGTCAAGGGCGTGCCCTAGGCGGTTGTGCGAGTTATGCCCCCATGTGTAGACGCGGCTCTGGGTAAGCATGCGACGATACATCTTCTGCCAGCGGTCGCCGTCATGTTGTACGACTGGCTGGTTCGGGACGCGGAATGTCGTTCTGGCGAGGTAACTCCAGTACGCGGGATCTAGTTGAATCGACGGTTGCTGGAAGGCTTTGCACGTGCTGCAGAGGGCGAGGAAGCTCTTGGCATCTAAGTAGGGAAATACGAGTACGAGGATGTCGAGGGGGAGGTCGGTGATGGAGCCGATCTTGTCGGCCATGTTGGCTGGGAGGAGGCTTCTAAGCTCCTTGTTCGGTGTCGATATTGTAGTAGCGAGGCTTGTAGCGCGACTTCGATATTCGGGGTAGAGGGGTTGGAGCCTGCTCCAAATAGTGCTGATGACGGGTACGTGCAAACAAGATGTTTGTAGAACGCGAGCGTGGAGGGTACACGCCCAATGACGCAAGGAGCGCGGGGATTAATGCGGGACATTTCCGTTTTCGCGCTAACTCAAAGCAGCGACCAAACTTCTGACTCAATTCACGAGTCTCTATCAATTTTCCGCCTGCCCAGCAACACGTTTTGATCCACGCGTTGCACTGCTCCACCTAACTATTTCGGTCCACTGATATCGGACGACTTCAAAAATACTCGATTGGGGACCATATTCGCGTCACGACACTTGATATTGCCCCACCACGTTGGAGCGTCTGACACCTGACTGGCCACATTCCACGTACAAAGGTCGACGACAACAAAAACATCACATCGCCATGTCTGAAGCCCCCGCTGCCGAGCCAGCGCCGGTACCTGCTGCGGCAGTAGCACTATCCCAAGAAAGCTCACCTGCAACAACAAATGGCGAAGCCGCTCCTGCCACAGATGCGCCTAAAAAGCTCTCACCAGCAGAGTTGAAGAAGCAAAAGCAAGCCGAGAAGCAAGCAAAACGAGCCCAAGCCAAAGCCGCGGGTGGCACACCGAATCAACAACAAGGACCATCCAAGGATAGCCAAAAACAGCAGAAGGATCCAAAGCAAACATCAAAAGACGCCCAATCAAGACCAGGGCCAGTACGGCGACGACCATCGCAAGCCAACGCACCAGTTCTGAAGGAACCGGAAAAAAGAGCGAAGAAGGACAAGGAACCAAAACAGACTGGCCTCTTCTTCGGTCATCTCTACAGCCAACCAAAGCAGCAATCCCTTGTCGGCGCATCAAAAGACGTACATCCTTCAGTCCTCGCACTTGGCCTACAGTATAGCAGCTATGCCATCTGTGGTAGTACGGCACGTATGGTAGCCATGTTGCTGGTTTTCAAGACAGTCATCGAGGCCTATCAAACACCTCCAGGAAACAGTTTAGCCCGGCATCTGACCAGCCACCACCTTGGTCCTCAGATCGAATTCCTAAAGAGCTGTAGACCGCTTAGCATTAGTATGGGAAATGCTATCCGATGGCTCAAGGATAGTAAGTTGACATTTCACATTAAACTAACGTAATAGGCACGGCTCAAAACGCTTAGCATGAGCATCAGAACTTGCCAATTAGTAATTCATGAGATACTGACTCCTTCCAGTCATTATCAAGATAGACCCTGCAACGCCAGAGAATGAGGCGAAGCGAGATCTGATCGAGGAGATTGACATATTCATCCGGGAACGTGTCACAGCCGCTGACAGGCTCATCCGCGACCTAGCCGCTACCAAGATCCAAGCTGGCGATGTCATTCTGGTTTATGCCGCATCTTCGATAGTCGAACAGACTATCATTCATGCTCACCAATCCGGCAAACCTTTTACAGTTATTGTGGTTGACTCAAAGCCATTGTTTGAAGGCAAGAAGCTGGCACGGAAGCTCGCAAACCACGGTATCACCGTGCGGTACTATCTCATCACAGGAGCCTCACACGCAGTTAAGGACGCAACAAAGGTCTTCCTAGGTGCGCACGCAATGATGTCAAACGGCCGCCTCTACTCGCGCGTTGGCACAGCTCTCGTATCTATGCTCGCATACTCCCACTCACTACCCGTCATCGTACTCTGCCAGTCCGTCAAGTTCACTGAGAAGGTGGCGCTAGACTCCATTGTCGGCAACGAGGTCGCACCTGCCGAGGAAATTCTATCCGAGGCCGAGCGTCGTGACCTTCTTCCCCTCAAATCACGTCTTCCAACATCCAAGAACGACGAAAAGTCGTCATCGGAAGAGGCACCCGCCGATACCACAGATGTGTTGAAGTGGATCGACGACGCGAAGAACCTTCATCACCTCCAAGTTCTCTACGATGTCACGCCTGCGCAGTACATCAACATGGTCATCACCGAATACGGAAGCTTGCCGCCTAGCTCGGTTCCCGTGGTTCACCGCTTGAGTACGAACATATGATCCTGTCCAGCGCTTTCTTTTTTTGTGTTCAAAGTACTACCTTAAGCAAGTGCTAACATTGATGGTTCAGGAACTGAAGAGCAGGAGACGATGCCTACTAAGAGGGGTGTTCGTCAAGCTTCCGGGTGGTAGAGAGGTGTTGAAAAGAGGACTGCAGGGTTAAATAGATCAATGGCAGTCACGGTATTGGTCTCCTTGTCAGTGTTGCAGGTAGACTAAGATATGATAGGTACGGTTTCATGAGAGAATCAACATCTTACTCCCACCGCTTTTCATTTATTCAGCAGTCATCCTACACGACTAAAAGCTACTCTAAATGCATCTGACACAGCGTATTAGCTTGCGACAAGTCCGAGGTGTATCAAGATCAAACAGCCATTGCCGCGATTTCGGATTCAAGATCCGCCATCTGCCTTCTCAACGCAGCAAGTCGCTCCTGCTTATCCGCCGTCTTATCAGATTGACTAGTGGCAACCGCACCGCAGCCTTTCTTACCCTCCTCTCTCATCATCGGAAACGCCAGTACCTCCTTGATCGTATAGTTGTTCGTCAGAAACATCATAATACGATCCAACCCCGGCCCACACCCAGCCGTCGGCGGCATCCCATACTCCAACGCCTTGACAAACTCCTCATCAATTCCTTGGGCTTCGTCGTCCCCTTGAGCCTTCTGCCTCGCTTGCTCCAGAAAGCGATCGCGCTGTTCGAAAGGATCATTGAGTTCGCTGTAGAGATTGCAAATCTCAAAGCCACATACAAAGGCTTCTGCGCGTTCTGTGAGACCGGGAATCGAGCGATGCGTCTTCGCGAGAGGCGACATGAGCTTAGGGTGATTCATGATGAATGTGGGGTTCGTGATGCGCGATTCAATGTATACGCCAACCAGCTTGTCGAGTAAGCGGGCGTTTGTGTGTGGGGGCGAACAGATGATGTTGTGATCACTCAGGATACTGAGTAAGAATTGCCGGCTGTCTTCCGTATGAAGCTGAGATGGCGGAGGGAACTGAACCTTGCAGGCGTCTTCAAGCGCTGTCATCATGTCAATGCGCTCCCATGGCCCCTCCCAGTTGATCACCTTCGCTTTTCCAGTCTGGCTTGTGAACGTAGTGACATAAGAACCAGTTACATTCTTCACCAGACCAGAGATCATTTCTTGCGTCACTTGCATCATTACCTCATAATCTGCATCCGCCTGGTAGAATTCGCAGCTTGTAAATTCGGGGTTATGCGTTAGATCCATATCTTCGTTGCGAAAGACCCGTCCGATCTCGAATACACGGTCGATGCCGCCGACAACGAGAGGCTTGAGATGCAGCTCTGTAGCCGTACGTAGATACATGTCCCGCTTGAGATCATTGTGGTGCGTGATGAAGGGCTTGGCTGCTGCGCCGCCGGCTTGTTGGCAAAGGATGGGTGTCACGACTGAGATGTAGCCGCGGTTGCGGAGGAAGGTGGTGATGTATGACTCCATGGCATCCCAAGTACGCAGCATATCGCGACTGCGGCGATTGGTGATGAAGTCAAGCGGTCGGTCACGATGGCGTGTCTCAGCGTCTGTGAGCGTCTTAGGTAGCATGTGCAGACTTGGTGCTAGGAGAATGACGCTTTGCGCGAAGAGCGAGAGTTCGCCTACAGGTCGATTGCGTGGCGCTGTTCGGCATGGATGGCCAGTTATGCCAATCTGGTCTCCTCTGGCCAGGTGCTCGTGTTGCTGCTTGTAGGCTTCGAGGTCTTCTGATGAGGTGACCTGACATACGACTTGTATCGCTTCCTCCCCAACCTGAACCTCGTAGAAACGTAGACGCTCTCCTGCGCTACGGATCGTAACGATACGACCGCGCATTGTATACTCAACGTCTCTCAGCTGTTCGCCAGTCGCGATGGACCTATGCTGCTCACGGAACGCTCTAAGGTCCGTGAGATTGGGGATGAACGAAGAATAGAGGCCATTTTTGTGAGCCGCCTTACGCAGATCCTGGACCAAGATAGAGCGGTTCTCGTAGTACTTGTGGGGTGGGAGCGTTTCTTCTTGGTCACGTCTTGCGCGCTGCTTACTTGCAGTTGTGATAGTGCCGTTGGTAGCCATAATGATTGAATAAATATTTCTGAACGCTTTTTGTCTGCAAACTGACGAGTATTGCACAGTGGATCGTAAGAAAAAGATGCTTCCGAGTTGTGTTGAACTTTCAGATAAATATTGGAGTTCTTAAGTAAGGCGAACCTCAACTCCAGTCATCGCTTGTGAGTCAACCACTGCATCCTTCGTTAACATTTACGTTATAGGGTAGCACCGAACATGCAAGTGCATCCTTCTAATATGTCTCCCTGCAGTTAGGCCTCCTTGGCTTCACGTACTGTTAGCTTAATAACAAGAAAAAGCACCAATTAACTATGCAGGTCGTTCACCGAGGTATCCCGGGAATGTGCTCCTAACCAAGCACAACAACTTGATGCGCTAATTCTGTCATATTTTATAAACCTCCACTTCTACGAATTGTCTTTCATGGATCGCAATGCTCCCATGACATCGATAGGCTGGGTTTTGCCAGTAACCTTTTGAATCTCAGGGTCATCCACACGCATGAACACGTTGTGCTTCTTCTCGTCACCAATTGTGAACTTTCCTTGTGTCTCCTTGTTTTCTTGTGTGAACGTGTCAAGTTTCTTGATAGCGTCATTGTTCAGTACGCTCTTTGCAAACTTGACGTTGCCCTTTGTGTATTCGTGTCCAGGGTAGACCTTCGTATCGTCAGGAAGCGCCGCTAGAGTCTCGTTCAAAGCCTTGTGCATCTGCTCTGGAGTGCCTTCGAAGAATCGTCCGCAGCCACCGATGAATAGTGTATCTCCAGTGAAGACTGCGCGATCGTTTCCATCTTCGAAGTAGAAGCATATGCTGTCTTGGGTATGGCAGGGTGTGTGGAGGGCTTTGACATTGATAGACCCGATCTTGAAGGTGCTGCCATGGCTTGGTGTTTCGGACACTTTATCGCAGTCGCGACCACCGATTACAGGTAGGCCGAGCGCTTTGATCTGGCAGAGCCGTTAGCTAGTGGCACTCGAAGACTCATGTAGTGGCTCTTCACTTACGACATCTACATTACCTCCCGCATGATCACGGTGGCTATCAGGTGTGTTAGCAGAGTCGAGTCGTCAGGAGTAATCACCCTACTGATGTGTGTTAATGATCTTGGTTAGCTTGAGGCCGCCAGTGGTTGTTTGCTCTCGCAAAACAGGTAGAACCCTATAGCCCAGTCAGTTGTGTGCTTACTTCCTTGGCCTTCTAACATACTCCGGAGGATTGGCAGGGTCAATGATAACAGCTTCTTTAGTCTTGTCATCGGACACCAAGTAGGCATAGTTGTTGCCCGAACCCTCCCCTGACCAGTAGGTTAGATCGCATCCGATGTTCAAAATTCTCCATCAGGGTGCTCGTACACATGGGAATTGATTGGATATGCATGGCGCGTGCTGGTATGGACGATGGCTGCTTGGCGTTAATTGCTGTTTTCGATGACTCGATCAGAACTGTAGGCAATTACCTTGAAATCGGGTCGAGCAAGTGATACTAGTGGGTATCTTCTAATGGCTGCAGTGAATAGGCTCATAAGGAAGGTGCAGAACAGAAATTGGCGGAGGCTTGGGAATGCCATGAAGCTTCGAGATGACCGAGGTGATGACGTTACTGCTTGTTATCGATAAGGTATGCCACTAAACACGTGACCAGTGGCCCACTTCCGCAACGCGTCAAGCTGCATCTGTCAAACGCGTTCGCTTCAACTATGGAGTCCACTCAGAACACAACACACTCTAAACATTGGCGTATGCCCAGGATACAAGCACAGAAGCACGTGTCGAAGTGAGAACGGATCAAATTTAACATATAACACAAGACTACGGATACAGTCGACGAACGCCTAAAGGCTAACCCAGCCACGCCATTTCGATGCTCATATGCAATCATAAAAGTCGTCAAACATTACAGCAACCTCCCTACAACAACGACTTCAGTCTCTTCTGCAACCCCGGCTTTTCGGACGATCCTTCACCCCTCAGACGCTGTTCCTGAGGATCGTGCAATGGGTCTCGAGTTACTGTGGCCCTGATCTTCTTGCCAAAATACTCAATCTCCACAGACTTTCCTTCGCTTACATTGCTCGGAAGCCATGCATATGCGACAGGCTTGCGTACCGTGTAACCAAAAGCGGCGCTAGTAACATAACCAGCTCTTTCGCCTTCCACGAAGACTGGCTCTTTACCCAGAACCATGGATCGTCCGTCATCGACAGTCAAGCATCTAAGTCGCTTAGATGCTGCCTTTCTAGAAAGCTCCTCTAGTGCCGCTCTACCAACGTAATCCGCCTTCTTGTCCATCTGGATCGCGTACGTCACGCCAGCCTCCCATGGGTTGTGCTCAGAAGTCATGTCTGAACCTGAGGCTCGGATACCCTTCTCGATTCGTAGTCCATTGAAGGCGGCGCGACCTGCAGCAACTAGACCGTGGGGCTTGCCCGACTGGAACAATAAGTCCCAGAGGCGCAGGCCATATTCAGGTGTGGTTTGAACCTCCCAACCGAATTCGCCGACAAAGGACTTTCGGAACATCGTGACGGGAATTCCAGCTATGCTCGTCTTCTTAACACCCATATACGGCAAGCCTTTGTTGCTGTAATCATCCGAGCTGATTGTGCGGATAACGTCCCCAGCGCGAGGACCCCAAAGACCAAGACAGCATGTACTGCCAGTGACGTCTCGTACCTGAGCCCACTGACTAGGTGTGTGCTTTTGTTGACGACGTGCTTCGCGTGCGAGGTAGGCAAGATCGGTCGCAGTGTTGGCGCCTACTTGGAACAGGTCTTCCTCGATCCTGGACACAAAAATATCGCTTAGTACGCCGCCGTGGCCATTGACAAGGAGAGTATGGGTGATAGCGCCAGGCTGCTTGGAAACATCACTGGTCGTCAATCTCTGAAGCAGGTGGACAGCACCAGGACCGGAGACCTCGAATCGATGGAAAGTAGTCATATCGTACAATGCTACTGCGTTTCGTGTCTTCCAAGCCTCGGCCGCAGCGATTGGCGAGTAGAACTTGGATGACCAAGCATCGCGATCGACCGGCTTCCATTCATCCGGCAAGGTGCTGACCAGATCCGCATTCGCTTCATACCAGTGTGGACGCTCCCAGCCTCCTACTTCTAGGAAGAAAGCGCCTTGCTCCTGTTGACGAGTATAGAACGGGCTGACGCGAAGGTTTCGAGGGTTCTCTTTCGGTGCGAGGGGGTGGATGATGTCGTAGATCTCGACGAAGTTCTGTTGTGATGTCTCGCTGACGTATTCTGGGCTGAGCTGTACTTCCTCGAATCGTGTTAACTCGCACTCCGCAATGTCGACAGTCGAACGACCCTCCGTAAGGGTCTCTGCGACAGCTCGAGCTACACCGGCCGAATGTGTTACCCACACAGCTTCGGCGACCCAGAAGTTATCGAGGTTGGGTGCTTGTCCGACAACGGATCCACCATCTGGTGTGAAAGAGAAGATGCCGTTGAAGCCGTCAGCGATCTCAGTCTCGCGAAGAATGGGAAGCAGTTCTTTGGTAGCTTTCCAGGCAGGCTCAAAGTCTTCTGGTGTGAAATCTAGGCGAGAAGGCATATGCTTTTCATCAACGTGTTTCGGTGTTACACCCAGATCTGAGGCCTTGACAGGCATCGGCCGGTGACCATAGTAACCAATTCCATACTGCTCCCCATGCTCTCGGTAGTATAGATCTTGGTCTTGGTGTCGCAATATGGGCAACTCGGCGTTCATGGCGTTGATCTTCTTGTTGACTTCGCGGTTCTGGAGGCCTGGTACAGCCGTAGTCTTCGCATACTGGTGCCCTAGAGGAAGAAGAGGGACTTTGAGTCCAATCATGGCTCCTATCTCCACACCCCAGAAACCGGCACACGAAACAACTATATCCGCCGGTACAGAACCATTGTTCGTTGTCACACCGGTGACCTGACCGTTCGCTTGTTCGATTCCGGTAACGACGGTATGCTCGAGGTATTTGACACCCGCGTTGCGTGTGTTTTCGATAAGTAGCTGTGTCGCGCGAGCTGCTAGTGCCAAGCCATCGCTTGGAATGTGAAGACCACCTAGCACCATATCCTTGTTAAGGAGAGGGTACTTCTTGAGACATTCTTCGGGGCTGATCAAGTGCGCTTCGATGCCCCATGATTGTGCGTATCCGTGTTTGCGCTTGAGTTCCTCCAATCGTTCTGGGATTGTCGCGATCTCCAAGCCACCCAACTGGTTGAAACAGTTCTGTCCGTCTTTCTCGAGCGCTGAGAACTTCTCGACGGTGTATTTGGCGAGTAAAGTCATTGTTTTGGAAGGGTTCGTCTGGAATACCAGGCCAGGCGCATGTGACGTTGAACCACCAGGCATGCTCAATGGGCCCTGCTCAATCACCGTGATGTTGTTCCATCCTCGTGAGACCATCTCATCAGCGAGGTTAGTGCCGACGACACCGGCGCCAATAATCACAACACGCTGGGAGGTCGCCATTGCAAAAGAGTTGAAGAGTATAGGTTTGGATACTTGGTTCCCAAAGAATGTAGGAGGAACTCCTCTTAAGGCTGTTTGCGCTCGCGATAACGGACCATTTCACTGTGCTCTGCCATCATAGAAGCCGAAACTAAGCGCAGCGCAAACTTCAATTGGCAAAATAATTCCCATGGCGAATCCAACCGCAGAGTCATGCACGAAATCAGTCCACCGCCCCGCATGGGATACTTACGACATTGGTGGGGAAGATGCCAGTCGTGGATGTAGGGTCCTGATGTCCATTTTGGGGTTAGTAACGATCGAAGAGGCAAACCGTCTCGGGACTACATAGCCTGCCGCAACCCCGCCTCGCGTGTGCGCAACACCATCCCATCCTTCTCACGATAATTACACCTACGGGCATTCCATCATATTCGACATCAGATTCTGAGTCAGGTAAGTACGCGTAGCATGGAGAGCTTAGTATGCTTTTCCCGTCAGCTGGACTTCAATGGTTGTCCTGCCGCGAATACCATCATACCTCACCCGCTGCAATTTCATCATTATGACAAAGACGAGCACCTGCTTTGAAAGTGAGGGTGATTTACCGCCATCAGCCTTGCGACAGTCCATCGCTAGCCAAAAATCCGGTATGCGAAGTATCCCACCATTGCGACAAAAGCCATGCGCCAACAAATCTCCCGGATCCGGCCTCAATCCTACAGGGCTTTTCGAGAGCACCAAGCCCATGGATCAGCATTTGCACCGCACGATGTGCAAGACGACAGGGAAAAATGGATCATAACGCCAACCCATTGCTGTCGTCCCTATCGCCCACACCCAACTTCTAAGACAACCTCGGGACAGCTTTCGCAAAGGGCTTACCTGAAAGGCCTCTTTCTGAGCACGTTCTTCAGCATGTTGATGCTGCGAGACAAATGGCAGCTTATATCGTCATGTCGCCCTAACACCTCAAGCGCCAGAGCGAGCCCAACGTGACACTGCGCTGCGCTGCCATCACAATTCGGGAAAATTTACGACAGCCATTGCCGAAAGTATCCAAACCCTCCCGACCATCACTCGTATGGCTAGGAGGGGTAGAGACATGCGAAATGTTGTAGTAATCTCCCGCTTACGACGGCGCTGGCATCAAGACCAGTGACGCTTTCCTGCCGTACACGTTGCGCAGCTCGTGTCGCTTCACTTCGCACTCGTCGGCGCCGCGTCGATAGTACGTGGGCTCCGATATTCGCACGACAATCTTAGACAGAGTATCACGAGCTGCATTCCATCAGTCGCTATCAGCTGCGACACCGAGTCTAAGCCCGACAGCTCATCTAGATAACATCGCTATCTCGATGATAACAGCTGCGATCAACATCGTCAAGAAAATCTTCGATAAGAGCACGATAGCCTTTGGATAATACGACCGCAATAGTTCCGCAAGAACTTGCTGGTGGGAGTCTGAAGGCGCCTTGGGCTGGCGTCCCTTGTCCGTATTTGGACATCAGATCCATTCAAGTCCGTGCCAACAAGAGGGGCAACGACGAGAACGGTCTATACGTTCGGTCACCATTATCTTTGCCTGCAGTCAATGCACAGTCAATCAAACTACTCTGGGGTAATACGACGCCATCCACTTACATGACGCCGTTGAGCTCTAGCCCTGCTTTCTAGAATGTTGGTTTGATCACGATGGTAGCTCGTGCGTTAACGGAGGGACGTGAAAAATAGGTCAGAATATGTGGCGCCTGACGGTCACCTGCAGCCGAATTACGTTCCCACATCTCACTGGCTATCGCTCCCTGGGTGCGAATGGAAGCCATAACCCCATGGGGACTTAGTCGTTTGTGTTACTTGATAAGAGTGAGGAGGCAGAGTATTGGAAGACAGTATAATAATGCTTGCGACGTCCTCACACTGAACTCCATCTTCTCGAGTATACTTGCACAACACCCAAGTGACCATCTTCGACTACTCTTCGCACCTCACTACTTCACACAGAGTACAACTATACATTCTTCCAACACACATCTTTGACAATGGTCGGGTCATTCCTGAGTTATTTTGGGTTCGGCGGCTCAGCCGCCGCCCAGGCGCCACCAGAGAACCAAGCTGTACGGGCCTTGCCCGCCAACTGGTATACCTCTGAGGAGATGTACCAGCTTGAGCGACGCGCTATCTTCACCAGAAGATGGCTCATTCTTACGCACAAGTCAAGACTCGCAAACCCCGGCGACTTCCTCCGCTACAACGTCGCCAACTACGACATTGTTGTTTCCAAGGACCGATCTGGCGAGATTAACACATTCCACAACGTATGCAGACACCGCGCATACCCCGTCGTCGAGAAAGACGGTGGCAACGCAAAGATCTTCTCCTGCAAGTACCACGGCTGGTCGTACGGTTTGAACGGCAAGCTTGCGAAGGCACCAGGCTACCAGGAGCTTCAGAACTTCGAGAAGGCCAAGAACGGTCTTTTCCCTATCCACACCCGCATTGATCGCAATGGCTTCATCTGGATCAACATGGATGCGAAGAAGGAGCCTGAGGTGTCATGGGAGTCACAGTTCGACCACGTCGACGAACAGACACGATTCGACCAATTTGACTTCAACGACTACGAGTTCGACCACACATGGAACCTTGATGGTCCATTCAACTGGAAGATCCTCGCAGACAACTTCAACGAATGCTACCACTGCAAGAGCACACACCCCGATCTCACAACAGGTCTGATCGACCTCGAGAGCTACGATGTCTACTGCTCAGCCGACCACATCCAGCACGACCCCAAGACACCCCAAGACCGCAAGGATCTTGGCCAGGAGATCTGCTCCACATACTGCTTCCCCAACGCCTCCTTCACCGTCACAAAACACTTCCTCTTCATGCAGAAGTTCATGCCTAAGTCACCCACTGAGTCTGTTATGTACTACGAGGTCTGGAAGAACAAGCACTCCAGCCAGGAGGACTTCCTTCTCATCAGTGACACTTACAAGCGAGTTATGGGCGAGGACAAAGTCCTATGCGAGCGCGCCCAGAAGAACATCGAGGCAGGCATCTTCGTCAACGGCGAGCTTCACCCACACATGGAGAAGGGACCTCTCTTCTTCCAGAAGAGATGCCGCGAGATTGTCATGGAGCATGGTATGAAGGAGAAGAAGGCTGGTCAGAAGATCTGGCCTGCCAAGCAGCAACTCGAGCCTACAGGTACCTCGGCCATCAGCAAAGAGATGGAAGACTTTTGCGAGGGTCTTGCCTGTGGCAATGATAACGAGAAGAGCGATCTCGCTTGGTAGTCGGCAACGCGAAAATTACGACTGATGATGCATGGCTTTGGTGTTTGGAGCGTTATGGGTACTGGAGGCTTTGAACTCGTACTTTGGAATTTGTAGTTTGACAGCATTCTTTGTAATGACTCTTAGCGATGTTCGCGCGATAGCGCAGGTTTCATTCCTGATTCTCTAGATAGAATGTACTTTCTTGCCTTTACATGTCGTCCTTACTTGCTTCTGGTGACGCGCGATAGCGGGTATGGCTTTGACCCTGTCTCGTTCTTCTCTCCGCATGACGTATCATTATCTTCATCCTTCTACTTCCCCACATGAGCTCAACCACGCGTCGCAGTACCAGATCTGCATCGCCGTTAACGGACGGTTGATATCGCACGGTGTTTTGGCCCTAATCGGGAAAGAATGTGCATTGGCCAATCGGATGCAGTGGCTATCTGAGATAGCCGCTGGTCTTGAGAGCGATACGACAACAGTGATCATTCAGATACGAGCCGCTGATAGTGTGCGAGAAGGTCAAATATTGATACCGTAACGCTCTTTTGAATGCTAGATAAAAGTATCGAAATCTTGCTCTGAAAGCTGTATTCGAGTGTACATATAGGACCAACCTTGGGAATATTGAGCTGTCCACACTTATAGTTAAATCTTCCCAGCGCGGTGCACTTGGTTGTTATGAAACCTAACCCAAGACCGCAATTACATACATGGTAAAGTTGAAAATGCCATGTATGCAATACTGGGACGGACACATCGCAGATGGGATTCATAAGTCACGTGTTCCATGACGTCAGCTGAGCACCATGTACGCCCCGTTGACGCGCAGGGCGTGTTTGAGCTGTTTTACATAAAAGCAGCTTGGCGCAACGTAGATCAAACTAGGGAGTAAAGGCTTGACGTCGAAATTTCGCATCATAGACGTTGCACACCATGTCACAAACGAAGCACATCGTCTTCGATATAGTCGGCACGCTTGTGTCGCACGAGCACTTCTACACCGTCATCGACCAACGCCTTGGGTCCAAACTCCAGCCCCACAATATCTCCGCACGTCTCCTTGGTTACGCATGGCTTGAAACGGCAGAGCGTGAATATACATACCTCTCGCTTTCGGGCTCTTACGTCCCATTTGCCAAAGTTTTCGAATCCATCTTTTTCCGCGTCTTGCATTTCGCCGGAGTAGCAGAACCGCGTAGTGTGGCGAGCGAAGAAGATGTGACGTACTTTATGCAAGAGTACAAGAAATGTGAAGTTCGGCCTGGTGCAAAGGAGTGTGTGGACAGAATAAAGGAGGCTGGTTGGACGGTCTGGGCATTCACTAGCGGCGATCGCGAAAGAGTGCTGGGATACTTCGAGAAAGGCAACATCAACATCGACGGTGATCATGTTGTTACATGTGACGAGATTGGTGTAGGGAAGCCAGAAGTCCAGGCATACGAAAAGCTAAGAGGAAAGATTCGTGTTGAGAATACAGCTGGGGAGCTTTGGTTTGCCGCTGCACATGGCTGGGACGTCAGCGCAGCGGGAAGGGCTGGATTCAAGACGGCATATTGCCTGGTGTTGGAAAAGGAGGCATTAGAAGATGTCTTCGGCAAGATGGACATCGTTGCTGACACATTGCCTGCACTTGCAGAAAAGGTGACATTACAGTAAGAAGCAGAAGCAAGGACGTGGAATGTCGCAACCAGTACCGGCTTTGTTCGCATTGTCATCCATGTTCATTATTGATTGCATGAAAGAATACTGAACTAAATTATTCGTGTTCTATCTAGTCTTACATTGGAGAAGAGTATATAGAATGGAAAGAAGTCACGACTCCGCTTGGGAGTGAGTTTACCGAGATAGTTACTGTGAATGCATGCCTTCATTACTAGGGTATCAACCGAGCTTGTAATTCCCGCATATCATTCCTCCAGAAGACACTGAGCGCAAGCACCGTGAAGACCACAATAACGACCGCGTATAAGAACATACTAACGACCAAAAAGTAGAATGATCCTCTCCCAATTCTTGTCAATGTCATTTCGCCGCGCCAACGGTTCTCGCGATTCGGTACTGAGGTGTAAACGCCAGCTGCGAGCGCCAGGAAGGTTTGGCTGAAAGCAAGTTCCATAGGGTCCAAGACCGTTGAATTGGTAAGCAATATAGACATTGCGGCTCTCTCGAACAGTTCATAGCTACCAAAGCCGGCCTGTGACGGTGCTTTTATGATGGCTGCGGTACTGGGGGTAGCTAACGTCGTATGAAATGCGTAAATATTACCGTTTACTAGCGAGTACGTAACGTCGTAAACTGTAGAAGTGCACGAAATTGCGAAAGCCACACGACCGTTGCCAATTCCAACGACAGTACCCTGATGTACCTGTGAATCATGAGCGCGGGCAATACCATCAAGGTTAATACTGTCCACCACGGCTGTAACATTGTAGCTGGACGGGTTTAGCTGAGATGCGACCGAGATCCCCCGTGGAGATCCGTTGTCAAGATCGAAGAATTTTGTGTTCCAGCCTTTGAGCCGCTCTAAGCTGTTGCTTGGTATCCCGTTTAGGTCGCCATTGAAGAGTTCGGAGCAATGATATGGTATTGAAGCATTATCGTCTGTCGCGTTGTGCAATCCACAGTCCGCCGTGATAGGATTGCACTGGGTCACAATCGACATTGTGTCCGCGATTTAGTCGAACCCGGATCTTTCGATGTTCTCGTTGTTCAGAGCCCACTTATTGAGTCTTTGGGCTTCGTCATCTTCTTGTGCCCACCATGGATTGAAGAGAAGTATGTGCTGATCATCGGCGATGCGGTCAACATGGGTGACAAGTTGAATAGAGTCGAACGCCCCTGAACTGCTAGCATTCGCCAGATTGTTGAAGTCCTCTTCGTTGTAGTTGCCCGTTTAGTTCAGCAAGCCAGTCGCGAGCACTCGGTATGCCGCATCAGATCCGGTAAGTGTCCAGGGATCGGTTGTGTTATCGATCGAGCAAGGAGGTGGGTCATAGTCATCGTACGTATTGGGGACTGTCTTATTGGAAACACATCGCGGATTAATCGCGAAGGCGCCTGTGAAGTCAGGATCCACAAAGCTATCGCCATAAGATATTTGTACAGTTGTGTCAAGAGTCCCTGACAAGACCTTATCTGATAATGTCAGTTTCAATCAAACTTTGGATAGGCATATCTACCTCCAACCAGTAAAGATATGCTAACGTGATGATTAGAATTATGAAGCTTGACTAGCCTGAGCGCATACGTACGTGAGGGCAAGGGCTACGAATACCCCAACGCCAGCGATCCGTGTTCCACTCACGGTCTTTACGTCCCGAGCACGCCAGAAGCGAAGTAAAGTCCAGTTAAACAAGAACTTCGGTCCTCCTTGTAGAAGCTTCACAACACCTTGATCCACATCTTCGTGTCGGTTCGCCAGCTCAAGCGCCACAAGAAATAATAAAAAAGCAGGAGAAAGGGGGAAGCGGCGAGTTGAGCAGCGTTCGAAGCAAAGCTAGTAAGCGCGACACTATTCAACGATACCTTTGTCATAAAGAAGGATTCGTCAAGGGGCTTGACAGGAAGGTCGACGTTCTCTTGAGGTGGATTTTGTATCGTCAAGATGGTGACGAATAGACATAGCAGCGTTGCTACGAACACGAGAGGAAAGAACACGATTGCGAAGGCGAAAGTGATCTGTAAAAGTCTCGAAACGGAGTGCGTTCCAGTTATTCTCTTCTCAGACTCATCGTCACTGCAAGCCATGCTGTTTGAGGTCGCTATTGCTTTCATTTTGACGAGAAATATCTATATTGGTATCGCAGCAGATTAATAGATGGACAAGAGTACGATGCAAGGTGAAGTTACCTCATGTAGTGACTTATCGTTCAGTAATTCATTTCTAGATGAGAAGCTTAGGAATATTAGCACTCTCAAAGTGTTTATACAAATTAAGACTTGCGGTTTGCATGAGCCCCTGAGCGTTGAGGCTGAGAATCGCGGATATTATACATCGCGCATGTGCAAAGTGGCGGGCAGTCGAGACGCGACCAAACAAGGCAACTGTTCAGAACACTGCGTGCATGAGCTGAAGGCTATCTCCGAACCTCCCACAGCTTGTAGTTGTTGGCTTGGAGGGTCTGCACATCGGAAATGAACTATTCGACTGCACCGATGACACCTCAAATGCAGCCTGTGGCGACAATTTCATATGTAGGCGGACCTTTCTTGTGCATACTGCCTTGAACGTAGCTACTACCCCCTCAATGCGATCATTGGACACACGCTTTGACCAAGCAGGGGGGTTCATAGCGGTTGAGCGGGAGAGGAGAAGGTGGCGGCGAGGATCAGGGTAGCTTTGGCACGAGACGTGGTGAGTTGAAATCCTCTTTACTGTCTTGACCTCTGTGGTTGGTCAACTGCTGAAGGCGCACAGCTGTTGATAGGGTGTCAAACATTAATGTGGTTGCCGAAAAATAACAGCGGTCATCTGGCAGTGTCACATTCGCGGACTTCCAGTGGCAACCTCACACCAAAGTGAAGATGATGATAAGAACTGGTGGTTTAATTGCAAGCTACATTTGCTCGACTCAGCTGGAGTCGTCTTCGAATGTGCCACATTGGTTGATTTCTGTTTCCCATTGCCGTCCTGTTGTGCTCAGGAGCTCGTTCCTGACGATAGTGTTCCACATAGTGGCTCTTTTGGCGAATAGGTAGACAATTGTTAGATGGAATGCTACTGTGCAGTTCACGCTCGATGTGGAGGAATCGGTGGCTTTGGAAGCGCTTGACGCGTAATCTAGATGGAGATAGACGAAATCCTTTGCTTCGACATAAATCGGAGGGAAGGACGGTTTCTGCAATCTGCGCGTGACGTATGTCTTTAAATAAAAAAAAAAACTCTGACGACACTACGATCCAAGCACAGCTCGAATTCGACCTATGTTGGTAGAATTGCGAGGTGTTGAATTCAGGGTGCTATTGGTTCGGCCACGCGTTTCGGCAGGATGGTGGGGCTGGGCGGACGCTGCCGCCAGGAACGCCCGTAGCCCGCCATATCAGCGAGTTCTATTGTCAACACAATCACAAGACAGACATCTTCGCGGAGCAAAGAACCAGACGTCGCATGTCGCATCGGACACTGATTTAAATTCCGGGTGTCCCCTAGGCAGGAAGATCCTCTACTCTGGCGCTGAAACCGTACTACGCAATGCTGCGTGCGTGCTTATCCAACAGACCCTGAGGTCTCTACCGGCTGCGTTTGATGTCATCCGCAATCTTCTCAGCCAACGCATATACCGTGCTCTGATTGGAGGTTAGTGTGGCACTGACGAAGCGATAGGAGATGGCATACCTGGGGATGTCCAGGAGGTAGTAGGGCGAACGAGCTCGCATCTACAACCCTTAACCCTGTCACGCCAATAACCCTCGCCTTGCTATCCACAACTGCATCAGGGTCATCAGCCTTTCCCATCTTGCATGTGCAAGACGCATGCCACACAGTCATTAACTGCTCTTGTCAGTATATGCGGTGAAACGAATACAAAGTAGACCTACTGTATCACGGATGGTATTGAGGATCTGTTCGTCAGTCTGTACGTTAGGACCAGGGAAATACTCCTTCGTATCTGCAAGTCCGCGCTTCATGGCATCCGTAGCAAAAGCTTGGCGTGTGCGCTTGTAGATGGCGATGGCGACGGATTGATCGGTAGGATCGGTCAACCAGCCAGGGTCGATCGAAGGGAGCTGGGCTGTGCTGGAGCTCGTGATGGTAACTGAACCACGAGAGAGGGGGGCCACAATAGCGCCAAGGATGGATGCGTATTGGTAACCATCCTTTGGCTGCGTCGCGAAGAGATTGGAGAAATCTCCGATATAACCAGGCGCAGAAAGGTATTCGATATCAGGCCAAGAAGCAGGGTATTGATCTAGTACCGCGGCAGCTTCTGAAGAGATGAGGTTTCGAGGAGCCTTTTCCCAGCCTAGGAAGTCACAGACAGGGTTGGTAAGTGGACCTTTCTTGAGTAGGCCGTAGTCGAATGCGAATTGGGCGCCGACGTAAAGAAGGTCGTTGGCTAGTTTGGTCAACGTCTGGACCTTGTAGCGGTAGGTGGGGCCGAAGAAGATGTGGTCTTGCATGTTTTGACCAACACCACGACGGTCGGCAATGACGGGAATGTTAAACTTCTTCAGCTGTGCAGCAGGACCAACACCAGAGACCATGAGCAGTTGGGGAGATTGGAAAGCACCAGCGGAGAGAATAACTTCTCGCTTCGCGGTAAGGATGGAGCCAAAGGGTAGCTGAACACCCGTGGCACGCTTCTCACTATCGAAGATAATCTTCTCAGCTCGTGTCAAAGAGTACACTTTGAGATTAGGACGGTTCTTAGCAGCCTCAAGGAACGCTGTTTGACTCGAAGCTCGCTTCTGGTTACCAGGCGTGATCGTGGAGCTGCAGTACTGCGCTCCCATGAGTTCTCCGGAGTTGAAGTCGGGTCTGGTTGGGATGCCGATGCCATTCAGGCCACCCTCCATGTAGCTTGAGAAAGGGCCCGCATAATTCGTATAGGACACATCGAGCGGTCCGCCGCTGGCATCGAAAGCACTTGCGACATATTCGGCCGACCCATTACTTGCACGAAGCCGGGTATTGGGTGGCGTGAACTTGACCGACTTCTTGAAATAAGGCATGAGGTTGTCGAAAGTGTACGAGTCGTCGCCGACTTGATCTGCCCAACGCTGGTAGGAGCCACGGTCGCCCCGCTGATAGATCATGAAATTTCGCGCCGAGCTTCACACATTAGTGGCTATGTCTTTGTCCAAACCCGAGTCTTGTAGCTTACCTTCCACCCAGACATTTTCCGCGGGCATACTTGATCTTCCTACCATTCGCACCTGCTTGAGGGGCTGTGATGAAATTCCAGTCCACAAGAAGGTTCTGATCTAAAGGGCTAGAGCCTGCCCACAAAACATCTCCAGCTGGAGTCGACGACAAAAGTGGATTCGTGACCTGATAGAGACCACCAGCCTCGATCACAGCGACTTTCATGGTGCTATCTTCGGACAAACGATTCGCAAGTGTAAGACCTGCGGTGCCACCCTGTATTGCGCGTTAGCGCAACTACTTCTTCGCAAAGTAGCGCAATATATGGTGGAAACAACGTACGCCAACGATGACATAGTCGAACTCTGCGCTCTGTCTCTTCTCATGTTCCGCGACTGGTACAGCAGAGACTATAGCAACGGCCAAATAAACGAGTGACAATGAGCTACGCATGATGGGCAGCGCTGGAAGACCAAGGTAAGGAGAGATCCTGGTGGTACTCTACCAAACTCGGGTCATCATGGTTACCTATATACATGCTTCTTTTGTCCCAAGGCCTGGGCATTCCTAGTGGTATTCCCACTGACGGATTCACCCATAGGTTTTGATTTGTTCGGAATCCTGGGCAAAAGGTTCGCATCGAGAGTTTGGGAACTGTGATACCCCGAACCCGGTCTGTGGGCAGGGAGTTAAACGCGGACGGACTCAATTAGGCCTAGCCATGGATAGCTAGCCATCTCGAAGGAGACTCGCCAGAAAAGGTTCTACTATCGGAGTGAACCGAGGAATTCCAGCTACATATGAAACATTAGCTTCTTGGTAGCAATCGTACAGCCCATAGTCAGTCGCTTAGAAAG